TGAACAGATTTAAGCGAAACCTTGGATTTAAATACCTAACCTCAGCAACGGTGATGTTTAGCTCGTTACAATTTTTTTTATTTTGCCTTCGTTTTCGAGTTATCCGGCTATACGTAAACAGCTCTTGGTTAAACCGGCCAGTAGAAAATCCGATCGTTTCTCCTATATCTTTATAACTCGCGAACGAAATCCAAATAGAAAAATTGTCACAAGCTAAACATCACCGTTGGGAGGTTAGGTACTTATATACAAAGTTTCGTTGAAATCTGTACAGTAGTTCAGAAATAAATTTCTTGATCACAGCAAATTTAAGCGACAAATTACCCGGCGGTACAAGCCAAATATAAGGAAGTGTGAAATCAAGAATGACGGTGGAATGAAAAACAAACTCGCAAGCGAAGGCAAAATCAAAAAAATTTTTGAAAGCTAAAAAAATCACCGTCTGGTAGTTAGGAATGTATATTCAAAATTTCGTTCAAATCTGTTCACTAGTTTGGAAGAAATTCTTTGATCACTGCAAATTTTGACCTGTATCGCGATATAACTCACGAATGAGGGTGAAATTGAATAAATTTCCACGGTCTAAACATCACCGTTAGGTTCTAATGAATACATGTTCCAAGTTTCATTGAGTTGCGTTAATTAGTTTGGGAGATATTCTTTGATAATTGAATTTGGAGATTGGCCGTGAGACCGGCCACGAGTCCAGCCGTAAATTTGCCCGAGACGTCCTAGGTTTCTAGTGCTGAAACAGTTGAAACATCTGAAAAACATATTGGTTTACTAAATTGGGTTTTATTTGTGAAATACACATTTGTGTTCAACCTTTATCTTTTAAAATTGCAGAGTACTAAATTTCAAGAAAGAGGCGTATGTTTTTATATGTGTCTGTGGGGGGCGCTAAAAATTCAATAGGGAGCCAAAGGGGGCGCCAGCCTGAAAAAGTTTGGGAACCACTGACGTACAGGATCAGCGGCAAGAGGGAGCTGGACCTGAACTAATGGGAAAGGCTGAAACACCTGGGACTGTACTCACTGGAGAGGAGAAGAGAGAGGTATATCATACTGTATACTTGGAAGATGGTAACCGGACTGGCTCCTAACTTTGAATGCGAGACCTCCAAAATAGTGACACAATAGTGACACACGAAATAAGGGGGAGGCTGTGCAAGATTCCCCCATTTAATAACAGAGCCACGGCCAGAGTACAGACTCTTCGTGAGAGATCAATATCCGTGGTGGACCAAGGCTGTTTAACGCCTTACCAAAGGTGCTGAGAGGAGGGGAGTTTACCGTTGCGACTTTCAAGAGGCAGCCGGATAAGTTTCTGAACAAGATCCCAGATTGTCCAGTAATGGGAAACTACCCTCAGCAAGTGACAAGCAACAGCATCTTTGTATCAGCTGGCCAGCCTGGCCCAAAGGAGGGCCAGCTGATGGCAAATAGACGGGACATGTCTAACGTTTCTTCTGGAACTTGAGGGCGGGGTGAATTGCCTAGCAACGACTCGGAGACGGAGGACGACAAAGGTGGAGCATCAGCTTGACCGTGGACTACGAAGTCCTAAACTCATCATAAGGTCATAAGCCACATTCATGTCCTTACCATAAAATGGGGTAACTTAGACCACTTTTATTTTTATAAATGATGCCATTTTTTTACTAGCTAAATTAAACTTGAATTGAAACATGCAAAATACAGGTCTATACTCTAGCTTCACTCACCATAAATTGCTGGCTCCTGCCTTTCATAGTCTTTACGTAATTTCAAAAAAAGTGGTGGTCTTTGTTACCCCAGCTCTTGGGGTAACTTAGACCGGGTGGTAAAATCTAGCAGAAGAAAGGTGGTAGATGAGTGACTGACAGCAGTGACAGGCAGTGTTTCAAACTGGGTGGTGTTGTTTGAGGCAGATTCTGAAAAAGTTGATGAAAGAACAGGTTTGGCGTGGTATTGAAGTCTGGGCTTCTTTATCTTGGCAGGTCTTCCTATCACAGGTGAGTCGGAAGGGAAGCCGGCAAACTCAGACGTGTCCATACCTGCTTCAGAGAAGAGCTCTTCTGTCAGGCTGGGGCCTGACGATGATTCAGCCATACCTATTGATACCTTTCACCTTTGATTGTTCTTCACACTATTCGGTAAGCACTAGTATTTATAGATTTGCACTGGGTTTCAGATTTCACACCGAGAACTTTGGTTGTTCAGCGATAGCACCACACGTCTTGTCACCATGAACGAACAAACGAAACGTCCTTTCTGTAATACCAATAATGTCTATGCGCTCGTTTACGATCTCAGTTCCTTGGGTCATGGCACATAAATTTACTGTGGCTCGTTCTCGCGCCGCTGTCACTATCCAGTGGCTGAATTTCTTGGAGGCCACGGCCGACCAATGGCTTTTTAACGGGCACTTAAAAACGATGCGACAACGATGGCAAATGATTTTGTCTTCGCATGTAATAAATTGATGTTATTATTTCGTTTTTCTGCACCTGGTACAGATTCAAATTTGCTGGGCACTCCTATGAGTTAGTTGCAGATATCTACGTCATTCCAAGCCCGTTTCAAAGTAAGTCGCCAAATTCGATTACAAGAAGCATCATGGTTGTCATCTACCGAGAAAGATTTAAGCAAATCCACCTACTACCATGGGTCTTAAGACGACTTAGGTATCATACGCAATGAATTCGAGGTTATGCACAAACGAAAATGTCACATCTTCGGTTTGACCGGCGTCTCGCTTTCCATGACGAATACCGGTATCAGTGGGCAGTGAAAATACGGAAGTCCCTTTCCTCTGCAAAAATTTAGAAGCCAACAAATTAAACTTAAGAACCTCTTTGGTATTTAGAATTTGCATGACAAGGAGTGTAGCCCAAATTGGTATATTCTGGCGACAAGTTACTGTACAGGGTCCGCCATATTTATGGCAACGGATGTTTGCTATATAAAATAAATTGTTTTCTAGGAGACTTTTCTTTTATAATGAAGCTTAATATCATCTATTAATTCATCTATTTTATATTGCAGAAGTCCAAGGTGTCTAAATTTACTATTCCTTATGGCAGTAGATAGAAATGCAATTGTAACCCTTCATGAAAAGGGCGAGAGTAATTCAGTCAATGCAAACAAGCTCCAAATTCGTCGTGAAACTGTGTGGAAGGTGGTAAAAAAATCAAGGAAACTGGTGAAACATGCAATCGACCTGGTTAAGGAAGGAAACGAAGTGTCCGAACAAAACAATTGGTCAAAAACACGAGGGAGAATTTGAGGAGAAACCTTCGTCGCTCAGCTGCAGAAGCAGGAGTCAGTCAGACATCAATGCGTAGAGTCCTCAAAGATGACCTCAAAACCTCCCCTTACAAGATGCAAACAAGGCATGAACTTACAGACCATCATGAACGAATGATGCTAGAAAGATGCCAGCGCATTTTGGATCATATTGAGGATGGCACGCTGCCCACCTTGGTGTTCAGTGACGAGAAAAAATTTGACATTGAACAGAGCGTTAGCCGTCAAAATGACAGAGTTTGGATGGATCTGTGGCAACCAGAACAGCAACACGACGTCAAAATCCCATGTCCGTGATGGTTTGGGCCACGGTAACCGAAACTGGGAGGTCCCCACTCGTTTTTGTCCCCTCAGGAGTGAAATTGAACAGTCAGCGATACATTTCAGACATTTTGGAAGCTGTGAAGTGTTTACGGACCTTGGGTCCGTAAACACTTCAACGGCTCACCATGGAGTTTTCAACAAGACTCTGCCCCATCACATAGAATAGAATAGAATAGAAAAGAAGTGTCGGCGTTGAAGAAATAGGCCCATGGCCTGTTGCCGATTCTTGAACTTTTCGTGACTTGATTCACAAGGGATCCGGCCTTTGGAACCCGATCTTTCCATAGCTGACGATTGATTGAGATAGCTGCTGGACTTATTGCCTGGTCCGTAATTTGCCAGGCATTTTAAGGCTGAACATATGCTACTGCATAGCTTCGTCTAGTCTGTTTTTGAAGATGTTGTTCTATTCCATGACGATTCGTCATGGAATAGAAGTGTCGGCACTGAATAAATAGGCCCATGGCCTGTTGCCGATTCTTGAATTTTTCGTGACTTGATTCACAAGGGATCCGGCCATTGGAACCCGATCTTTCCATAACTGACGATTGATTGAGATAGCTGCTGGACTTATTGCCTGGTCCGTAATTTTCTAGACATTTTAAGACTTAACATATGCTCCTGCATAGCTTCGTCTAGTCTGTTCTTGAAAGCGTTCATACTCGGAGCGTCAACGGTACTATCAGGGAGGCTGTTCCACATGTCGGTGACTCGAAGCGAGAAGAAATGTTGTCGCATGGATGTGTTACAACGCAGTTTTTTTAGTTTATAGCTGTGGCCCTTGGTGTTGGTTCTTGTTTCAAATTCTAGTAGGTAATCCTTCTGGGACCTAGTATAAGCCATGAGTATACTTGTATGCTTCAATGCAACATGACCCAAAACTGGATTCAGGGTCACATCCCAGCGTTCATTAGCAAAAATGAATGGCCCTCAAGAAGCCCTGATTTGAATCCTCTCGACTTTTCTGTGTGGGTTATTTTAGAGAGTATGGTCTGCAGAACACCTCATGATTCTTTGGATAGTTTGAAGTCTAAATTGACACGAGAATGGGACTTGATCCCTCAATAAATGCTGCGTGTCTCATGTGACGCTTTCCCGCGTAGATTGGAGGCCGTCATTAAAAATAAGGGTGGTCATATCGATTAAATATGTCTGAGAATTGTTTAGGTGATTCTTGGCTACTAGGTCATCCAATAAAAAAAACAATGCACCGGTTTGTTTCATTGAGAAAAAACAAAAAGCATGCGTTGCCATAAATAAGGTGGACCCTGTACTAAGCAGTTAGCTTATTACCTCCGAAATTACCATAGCGATGCTTTCATCGTATTAATTATTACCGTGTTCACAAATTGAGCTTTTCAATAATCAATATGGAAAATCAATCTCGGGTCATGGCACATAAATTTATTGTTTACAATGTAAAATTTAGAAAAAAATGACGTGTAGATAGCTTACATCAATTGGATTTTTGAGACAGCAAAATAACACCTAATTCATGAACACAGTTCAATCCAATCTTTCCGGAAAAGAAGTAAGTATCATATGAGGTTTAAACAATCTACCAGAACTAGGAGGAACACTTAATCCAAAAGCTACTATGTACATAATTGTACACTCACATCCACATCTTGCAAGATAATGAGAGGAGAACTGCCTAGGAGTCAAGAAGTTTATTCCTTAATTGAATCACAGGAGAAAATAAATTCCTTGTTCAATTTCATGCAGGCTAACTAAATTTTGGAATTTATTTTAAGTAAGTTAATACACAAAAGTCAAGTGATCCACACAAATTCCAATGAGGAATAAAACCTTGGAATTACTAAGGCAATGAGTGGTTATTTTTGTAGCCACTTCTTTCATGTCACTTTTGTGAAAATATGAAAAAAACTTTGTATTAAATCACTAACAGGAATAATTAAAAAGTTCAAACAACAAGTCACATCTGTATACCAAATTAGCAATTAAATTAACCGAAATGCCTAACACATGTAACATTGGCATACGTTACTTTGCTCAAGCAGGTTTGTGCACTCGCTGCAAGGTTCGCTTCAAGAAACTATTGAATGGATCATTCATCAGATGTCTCTCAATATCTTTCTGGTACTCCCTTGCTTCATCAACATCAAGAAGTGCACACAAGGCAAGTCTCAAATGAACTTCCCATACAAATTGCTTTGGGTGTTTGGTTTCATCAAGAACGGGAATATTGCAGAACTGCAGGTATTCAAAAAGTTCAACATAAGAATTTACAGACTTGACTGTATATTTGAATTTGCTATTTTGCTTGAGCAGTGTCAAAAATAAAGAGCTAACATCAGACAATATGTGTTCTGGAAGAGATTTATAACCATTTGGAACACTGATGATCAATTCACTATTTAATTCTTCCATGTTGCCAGATGGATCAGGGAATTTCGGAGTACACTCTTCTTGTTTAACTGGCGGAGGACATTCAATAAACTCATATTTAAAAAGTTCATGTTTAACTGTTACTGGTTCTACTTCTTCTAATTTTATAGCAATTATTTGACATTGTTCAACTTCATTTGATGAGGATTTATTGGTTCCTCCATCCCCCGATTCGTTCTTAATTCTCTTGTTAGCAGAGTCCAATTTCTCCAGCTCTTCCATTCCTTTATCCAAGTGACGTTTAACACCCACTTCAGTCTGCTTAGAAACATTGATTGCATTTTCTGGACTACAAGATGTCTCTGTAACAGGGCTTCTAATAAATTCTTCATCCTCGGGATTAGAATTCTCAAGGGTTTCATCACAATCAGCATTTGGAGGAACATCTTCCAGAAAGTCATCGGCACAAGTGCGTTCAAGATCTGAACTATGATGTTCTTTGGAACTTGCATGCATTGAAATCAAATTACCACTTGCTGAATCACTTGAAGTTGAAGAACTGAAAGCTACAGTAGACGTTTCTGTAGCACCTCTGCAAGTTGCATTTAAAGTATTTTCCTGTTGTGGGCTTTGCACCAAATTTTGAATTTTGTCCTTTAACTTTGGAAACTTCAATGCTTTTCCCTCTCTAATATTGGGCACATTCCCTTCATTTGAATTCAATTCATTTTCATGAACGAAAATGCATGTATTCCCCATATAACACTCACCATACAGTTCAGAAATGCACTTAATTCCATCTTCCTTTGGCAGTCGATGCAACTTTGAGCATACTTCTTGGCACTTTTTTCCTTTAAGAAAATTTCGACAACGTTTACTTGCATGAGAATCAAGACAAGCATCTTTCAGAGTTCCCATTTCATTTGAGGAATCTTTTACAGAACCATCACCCTTCTCTAAATGCAGCTGGTTATTCTCATCTTCAGATCCAGTTACTGTCTTTTTCCTATGAGTAATTGGTAGGTTCTTGCTTGCTCTTAAGAATTTTTTTAGTCCATATGCATTGACTCCTTTCAGTAAGCTGTCAATGTTGTCTATCATTTTTGAGAACCTGTTCTCCACTTCAAATAGCCGAGGTTTTGCATTAATGGCTGCATGCAAGGGAGATGGATCAACAGAACTATTTCTGTCTTTTTGACTAGAAGATGAATTCTGCACATTTTTGAGATTTTTTGTAATTATTTCATCAAGCAAAGTTTTGCTTGTGCATACTCCATTACTTGAAACTTGGTTTGGAGAAGACTGGGACTGGAGCCTTTGAAGTGGCAGATTGTTGGAATTCACAGCAGAATTGGAGGCACCAGCAACAGGTTCCAGCAGGCCATTGCTTGGTGGCTTACAAGTGTTGATGGACTCCATTGGCAATTGTGTAACAAACCGCTCTTTGGAAGAGAAGTACGGTATTTGTCTCAGCTGCAAGTGAAGGCAAAGTAAAATGTTTGAGTAGAATTAACAAAAAAGATTAAAACACATTACAACCAGAGAAAATAAGTAATAAGAAACAAATGGAATTACCATACCTAAACTGAACAAGAGAGTATTTCATTAGCCATTCATCTGAGAATTAAAATCAATACCCAGTCAATGAAAACTGTTAACAATATTAAACAGCTTGCTTAAATGCCCACTTGCTAGATATAAAACTTTAGCACAAAAGAAAAATTAAAACCCACTGGCCTAATTAACAGTCAATGTAATCTTCAGATAAAAATTAACTTTACATTAGCAGTAGTGGTATTAAAAATTTTACAGATAAGTTTTACCATTTATTCTATTTAAGGCTGCCTTAATTTTCAAGCCAATGTAACAGATGGAAATACATAATGAGATAAAATGATGCACACAATAGTTGGTATGGAACATTTCATTCAGTGAATTTAATAGGCAACAGCAATCATTAGGTGGATAAAATTCATAGATTCAAGACTCAAACAATTTTAATGGTAGCATGTGATTCTGAGGGTAGTGACTTCAAGTTCACAATATAAGGGATGAATTTACCTCTATGAAGATGTCCAACATGGGAGTGTATGACAGCCACAATTATTTTGCTACTCACATAATTCTCATTTTCCGCAGTACAATTCTCATTAGGGGTCACCTCCTCACAATTGAAGGTGTTTTATTGCAGCTCAAGCTCTGGAAATAAATTAAACACGTTGTTCAATAACATAAAAATTAAAACAGACAAATTGTACAAATTTTGTACAATATAACTCTAATTTTGTACACTCAAATTTAATACAAATGTTTGTATATATTATCAAATTACAATCAAAGCAAAAATGCAGATATATGAGAATGCTCTGGGAGATAACAAAAGTAAGATGATCCAAAAAGAAATTACTGGTAGATCAATACTCACCTAACAGTTTTGTAGAATAGAGCTTGCCAAACACTGTCCTTGTAAGCTGTTACAATATATGAATAAATAAGCTGGATGAAATTTTTCTTCTTACAGAACTATGTCTTGTTAACAACAGAATGGCCAAATGTCTGAATGCTCATCTTGCAAATTTTTTGTAAAGAAATGATGATGCATGTACGGTATCTGAAAAATATATAATATTAGGAAAAAACTTGAATTGCTTACTAATTTGATTGAAAAATAAAAAGGCATTATGCTAATAGAAAATAGATTGATTGAATATTGGGACTGACTATAATTGTTAGTTAAACTTTGAAATTATTATTTTATAATTACCACAGAACTGCTTAATTATAAAAATGTCCAATGAAGCAGCCATCATTTTGTCTTCATTGCTTTCAACAAAGCCAAAGATTAACTGTAAGATTGTAGATGTTGCAAGATCAACCAAATGAAATGTTCTCCAAGTTTACTAGTCCAATCAAATTTTAGATCAAACAAAAGATCAAATTGGAAAAAATTAGAACTTGTGCAATCATCATTCTATAATACTGAAACCTGTAACTAATTATACTGTATACCTACCAATTTTCATATCATTTGAAATCATGATCCAATAATCCTTTTTATTTTGATCAAAACTCCTGATTTTTCATTTAACAAATAAATAGGAAAATCATGATATATCTAGCAATGTTTATGAGTAAATTTAGCCATCGTAATTTTGCATAATTTATGATTAACGTACTTAGAGAAAACAAATTTATCAAATCTCAAATGAGATGAATTAAAAATTTAATAGGACAATGAGATTCTCACACAAAAGATTGCTTTCTACTTATTTTCTAAGAGAACTTGGTACTTGGTAGCACATGAAAATTTGAGTCAATTATTCTTCTCCTTTAGTTCAAACAAGTGACGTGTCAATAATCTTGAAGTGTAAAAGTGTCATCCGCCAATAGCCTTTTCAATTTTTATCATTTGAATTGCACCACTGTGAAATTTTACAATTGTCTGGTAATTTTAATTCTACTAATTGGCTTTTATTCTAATATTTTTTAATTTTACTGAGTATTATGGTCAAAAACTTGTATTAATCATCATGAAATGCAATACAGCTTGCCATGACACCTGATCAGCTAGTCATTTATTAACAAAAAGGAAAAAAAATTAAATTTACAAATAAATGCCCGTAACTGAGGTCAAAATAATTTGTAGCAGAAATTTTTCTGTGCATACCAGCATCTGTTCAGGCAGAATGATGTTTTTAATTATTTATAAATGAAATCCAAAGTATAGAGTGATTCCTCATTATCCCTTCGAGTGATGGGTGATTAAAAGGTTCAAGATTGTTTATTCACTATTTGACTAGGTGGAGCATTAGCCTGACTGTGAACAAGCTTCAATGAACACCTGGCAGCCAAGGTAATAGTATCTGTGAGCGTGGGAAGTTATTCAACAGCCGATGGCACCTTTCCTCTAATTTTAGATTTTGAGAGCTACCTTCAAAAGTGGTAATAAAGGACTGGCTGGGTAAATAGAGACAGTCCTCCATCATGGCATAAAATTGCAAAACTAAAAAATAGTAGCATAAACTTCAACATTTTTCCTATCTATGCAGCATAGAAGAAGTTGAGAAATTATACATTTACTAGCTCTAAAAAATCCCTGAAAAAATTATATTTGGAAAAGTACTTCTGCTTATGTCTGTAGTAAAAAACGATTCATGATATTAAAAAAATTTTGCTCTAAAAAAACTTGCAGACAGGTGTTGGCTTCGAAACGTAACTGACGGAATTTGCGAACATCAATCCAAAACAAAATGGTGGCTAATTCCACAAGACTGCATTATGAGACACCGCCCCCTCGGGCAGGTAATACGGAACACCTACAAATGCATTTGCAGCAGAGCCTAGGTTAACAAAGGCTCTGGTCAACAAAAAATCAGTTAATGACAAAAAATTTTAACTAAATTTACCAATCTCATTGTTGCAGGGGGAGCAGCATTGCTTTTCAGCCCAAACCCAAACCCTTTGGCTTTCATGCTCATTTGTTTAATGTCTGTGCTGTGTTTTCTCATTATAAAACTTTTTATGTAATTTTTCTTTTTTCTGTTTTTCTTCTCTAGTCCAGGCAAGGAAGTAAAATTATTATTGTGAAGTTAAATTCCAAAACCAAAGCATAATCCTAATGCAAAAATACCAATGAATTGCTACAATAATTGCACAAGCCTGGGAAGCTAAGCTAACTCACCACTTGAGAGGAAATGAGTGATTTTTTATTGCAAATGTCCACTTTTATTACCAAATTCATGTTTATATTACAAATTGTTTATACCTTGTGATTTTGCTCTTTCTTATTTTCCATTGATTGTCTTCAGCGTGTTTCAATTCTGCAAGCTATATATTTTGTTGTTCACGAATTCTTCATTAGGCTGTTTGCTGCAATATAAGTTTGCTTGATTCCTTTTTCTGCATCCAAAAGTAACACAGTTGCTCTAAGAAATCATCATTAAGGTTCTTTATTATTACTGTTTTTCTACTTGTTTATTCGATGCTTGTTCATATTTAATCCAATTCTTTATCTTATAGTCTTAGGGCTGTGATGCATAAAATTATCAAGTTTTACTTTCTTTATGGCAGATCCCATGTGCATCATGTCCAAGCTCTTCAACTCCTTAATTATACATCTATTTTCCATGCTACCCACAATTAGGCCATTCTTCATTCACTTATACACCACATTTGTGTTCATTTCATGACTAATAGCCATTTAATTGAACTGTAATTTAAATTCTGTTTTGTTTGTCAGTAATAAAAGATCAAGTTTAGTCTCATCATTATCCACTCCAAGTAGGTTGTCGCCAACCTATCAAGTAGAAGTAGGCAAAGTGGTTGCCTCACCCACAGCAACATTATCAAAAGATTTCACCTGAAGAAAAAAAATGCATCATCGGTCATCACAAAATTGTGCATAGAATGTCACTCACAGAATTGTGAACTGGGCAACACAGAATTTATATAAACTAGGTAAATTCTATGATTTAGGTATCGTCAAGTGGGGAGACTTCGGCCACTGGGGGTGACTTCGGCCACACCTACAACAGAAGCAAATGGCAGCAAAACAAAATAATAAATGTTGGCCATAGTGACTGGGGTGACTTTGGCCACCAGGGTGACTTTGGCCAACTTTTATTATTTTGTTTTGCTGCCATTTGCTTCTGTTGTAGGTGTGGCTGAAGAAGCTTGTGGAAGTGGAAGCTTCTGAAAAAAATGTGGAAAGCCAAGCTTCTGGAAGAAATTCTATACAGCTGCTGATATGAAGCTTGCAGTGGACAAGGTTGTAATCAATGGCATGAAAGTTTTTTTTTTTTTGGTGTAAGTGTTAGGTGTAAAACATAAAAAAAATGAAAAAAATGAAAGAGTATGTGAAATTCATAGAAAATGGCAAAAAAGGGGGGTACTGTAAAAATTGTAATTGTACTCCTAATTCAATCAATGTGTTATAACATTGAGAGACATATCATTCAATTCATAAACACCAAATATAGCCATTGACTGATAATTTTTTCAAAATTTTCATGGCATTTTTTCTGATTTTCCATTTCCCCCCCTCCCCTCCCCTATTTCTACAATATACAATCAAACAACGAAATAAAAAAGTGATCGGTGGATTGCTAGATATTTTTTTTTTTACAAATCAAATGGTATACCTCTCAATGCTGTAGCTAAAAAATCATAGGAGGAGGATTTTTTTTGTTCAAGAGAGCCAAATGAGTAAAATTTATTGAAAAAAATAATGCCAAAAAATTGCTTGATATTGTAGCCCAAGCTTTCCCATTGCCAATTAATTTCATTTAGGGTACCAGCACACGTAATAAAGACTTATTCTTTTCTAGTTTAACAAGAATAATAAGTTATAAATGTGATTTTTCTGAATTTTTATTCATATAAACTGTTAAGTTCATAACAGCTTAACACAAAAAAAAACATTGCATGTACATATGTGGTATTTGATTTCTTGAATGTGCATTGTTTGAACCTTTCAAACGAGTGCAAACACTTTTCAAATAATCTGAATAATGATCTATCTACACCATTTTTATACAAAAATTTTGAATTATTGTTATTAAATGGTAATTTTATGAAAGTTTGAAACAGCCTCACACAAAAATTGCTGCATGTACATCCATGGTACCGTAAAATGGGGTTACTTTGACTCCCGGGGTAACTTTGAACACTTTGTTTTTAAAAAAAAAAACCCCAAAACTCAAAAATGATTTGACTTAGAAAAAATTGTCAAAGGCCATCAAAGGCCTAATACGGAGGCTACGTAACAATATAGAAAGATTTAAAAAATTTGCACCTCTAATAGGTTAAAAAATTAAAAATGTGACCCACGAAGAAGAGCTATTATTAAAAACCTGTCAGAGTACACACCCCCTCCAATTTTCTTATTTTTGGTAAAATAACTCCAGGTTTTGATGCATTGTAGTAGAACTCTTCTAGTTACATATGCAAATAACAAATTTTAGGAAAGTGTCATAGTTTGCAAATGGGGGTGCCACCCCCTAATGGGGTACTCTGACCACCTAAATTAAGTTAACCCTTTACGCCCTGAATTTCTGGGATGAAAATCGTAAAATTCACTTTTTCGGTTTTAAGTCTCACTTCAAAGCTGACATTCTGACCTATCCAACGGTACCAAAATTGTCTCTGTACGTTGATTTATGCCTTGATGACAGTTCGTGAAAGGGTTAGGGGTGGGGGAGTTCTTTAACATTTAATATGGGCGAAAATTACTGGTCAGGCACATAAATAGACAACCTGAAGATGCTGCTCTTTAGTTACCCGGCTGCTGTTGTGTGGGATGGTGCTCATGCAGTCGTTTCCACCATCCTTGACTGAATTTCGGCTCCAGTAATGTCTAGTCTTGCATCTATGTCACCTTGAATGCCTATTTTGAGGGGCTCGGGACTTTGTCGCGCCCTACTGAACATTCACACTTATTGTCACTGCAAACCTATCTCCTCTCAGAGTTTTTAAGCTACATCAATGAGTAATATACCGTTCGATTCGCAAATAAAAGATCTAGAGATTGGTCGAAGCTTTTTTTCATTTTCGTTATAGTTTTGAAAATATTTTGAAAAAAGGGGAGGGGAAATTCAAAACGGGGGGAGAAACCA